CGTAATTCAAATGCATCAATTCTTCTTCGGTCTTCCTTACTCATTGTCCAGCTTTCCCATGCATATGAGGCAACTGAAAATATCATGGCTTGGGTTAGGTGCACCTTGGGCCTCAAAGTGACTTCTTTGCCCAATGCAATGCGTCTTTTGATTTCTTGACTGCTGCTTTCATGGGTGTTGATTGTGGATCCAAGTAAAATGAAATCCTTGACAACTTCAACATTTTCTTCGTTTATCATAATGTTGCTTATTGGTACAGTTGTGAGGATTTTTGTTTTCTCTATGTTGAGGTGTAATCCATACTGAAGGTTGCAGTCTTTGATCTTCATCAGTAAGTGCTTGAAGTCCTCTTCACTTTCAGCGAGCAAGGTTGTCTCGTCTGCATATTGCAGGTCCTTCTTTCTAGTCTGTCTCAGTCTGGAAGCTCTACTGAAACCTGTCCACCATGGGTGACCCTGCTGGTATTTGAAATACCAATGGCATAGCTTCCAGCATCACAACAACATGCAAGCCACCACAGTATGACAAACTGATAGTGTTAGTCATTAGGGAAATGCAAATCAAAACCACAATGAGACATCACTTCACATCCACTAATATGGCTATGATTAAAATACGACATCAACAAAAACAGAAAATAACTAGTGTTGGCAAGGATGTGAAGAAACTGGAACCCTCATCCTTAGCTGGTACGGCTGTAAAATGTTACAGCCTCTGTGGAAAACAGTTTAACAAAAAGTTAAACATAGAATTTCCATATGATCCAGCAATTCCACTCCTAGGTATATACCCAAAAGAACTGAAAGTAGCAATGCAAACAGATACTTGTATGACAATGTTCACTGCAGAAAAATTTCAGGAACCATATATCAGATAAGGGCCTAATATCTATATAAAACTTCTATAACTTAACAAGAAGACAAAAAACCCGATCAGAAAACGGGCAAAGAACTCGAACAGACATTTCACCAAAGAGGATATTCAAATGACCAGGAAGCACGTGAAAAGATGCTCAACATCATTAGTGACTAAAAAAAAAAAAAAAAATTAAGAAAACTCAAACCCATTGCCATAGAGTCGATTCCAACTCATAGCAACCCTATACAACAGAGTAGAACTGCCCCTTAGGGTTTCCAAGGAGCAGCTGGTGGATTCGAACTGCTGACGTCTTTGGTTAGCAGCCAAGCTCTTACCCACCGTGCCACCAGGGCTCCCATTAGCATCTAAAACAAACAAAGAAAAAAAACCCCACTGCTGTCAAGTAGATTCCAACTCATAGTGACCCTACAGGACAGAGGAGAACTGCTCCATAGAGTTTTCAAGGAGTGGCTGGTGGATTTGAACTGCCGACCTTTTGGTTAGCAGCTGTAGCTCACCGTAGCTCTTAACAATTGTGCCACCAAGCCTCCATTAGCAACTAAGGAGATAAAAATCAAAACCACAATGAGATATCATCTCAGCCCCATTAGAAAGGCAATGATCAAAAAAAACTGAAAACAAGTGTTGGCCAGGTTGTGGAGAAACTAGAACCCTCATCCATTGCTGGTGCAGTGATGCAGCCACTGTGGAAAGCAATTTGGTGGTTTCTCAAAAAGGCTGACCATAGAATTGACCCAGCAATCCCAACTGTAGGTATATACCCAGAAGAAGTGAAGGCAGAAATGCAAACAGAAACCTGTAAACCAACTGGTCATTGCAGCACTTTTCACAATGTGAAACAACCAAAATGTCCATCAACAGATGAATAGATAAATGAAATGTGGTATATACATACAGTGGAATATGTATGTAAAGAGAAATGAAGTTTTGATGCATGTCACAGCATGGATGAACACTGAAAACATTACATTGAGCAAAATAAGTCAGTCGCAAAAGGACAAATACTGTATGATCCCACTTAAATGAAATAAGCAAATATACAGGAACCAAAAATTATTAACAGTTACCAGGGATGGAAGGGAGGGGGGAGGGGGAGTTTTTATTTGGCAGGCATTGAGTTTATATTAATGTTGGTAGAATGTTTTGGATCAGGATAGTGATAATAGTGCCACAACATGAAAAATGTAATCAATGTCATTGAGTTGTAAATGTGGACGTTGTCGTGTTGGCAAATGTTTTGGTGTATGTATTTTTACCACAATTAAAAAAAAAAAAGATACAGAGGGAGGATGCTGATCAAATGAATTTCATGTCATTGAGGACAGGCAGGGTTACAAATGTCTTGTTTTCAGAATTTTGTGATACTGGTAAACGGACAGTAGGACTGTAATCATTTCTTGAGTGCTTTTTCACACTTGGCACACAAAGTCAAACAATCCAGTTAATATTCTAGACGCCTTTGAATACCTTAGAGATTGGATATCGTATCATTAACATAAAATATTTGCTTAATTAACTATTCAGTTTTCAATGACATTTCAACCAGTCTGTAAGATTCATTTAATCCACATTTCCTCACATGTGGTATAATAAAACTATCTGATGAGAAGTGAAAATTGAATGACTGGGTTTAGAAACAAATGACAAAATGAAAAGTCAGTGCCATGGGGTTGGTAGAAATAACCTGAACAGGAAAAGAGATATTTTACACAGTGTCACCTCTTTGGACACCTGAGCAAATGCAACATGTTCTTTGTGTGACTATTTTAGTTTGGAAGTTCTATTCTTGTAGTGACAGGCACTGGAATAATGTCCAAAATGTAAGTCCTTACACAAAGTGTTTCATAGAACCAGCTGCAGGAATAGGAACATTGGCAGTCATGCTTTAGGAGCAAATGCAGATTCCAGGATTATCTGCTATGAGAGTATGGCTTTGCCAATCAGTGCACAAATACTGAGCACCCACTATGTGCAAAGCACTCTACCTGGTGCTGTACCCAGTTGCTGTCAAGTTGACTCCAACTTATGGCAACCCCATGTGTCAGAGTAGAACTGTACTCCATAGGGTTTTCAAGGGTCTGAAATAGATCACCAGGCCTTTCTTCTGAGGAGTCTCAGTGGACTAGCTTCTCCCAGCTTTCAGCCCAGTGCATTAGCCATTTACACCACCCAGGGACTCCTACCTAATGCTGTAGGAATGGGGGGGGGGGAACTCTTAAGATGTTTATAATTCCCAAAGAAACTTACAAGTTACTTAGCAAAACTAAGAGTTATTTTACTATGCAAACAGTTGAGCCTAGCTGGAGCGTTTGTTTGGGAGTGATGGAGAGTAGATTGTGGAAAGCAAGAGAGCACAAGAGGCGTAGGTTTAAGGCAGCCCAGGTCTCTCCAATGAAAGAGCCATTCCAGGAGCCATCCCAAAGCTTCCTAAACTTGTTTGACTCAGGGGCCATACCTGACAACCTTGTTCTCCTCAAATAATCTATTTTGGAGATGAATTTTTATAAAGTTTTAGTTCCCTCCACAGTCTTGAATAGACATTTTTAAAAACTACCACTAATCCTGTTGCATGAGAGAATGTGACCCAACACTAGCATATGTTTAGGTGGGGACCTTTAATTACCAACCAATTTTGTGTAATAAGCAAGCTGCACATCTCTTGTCTGATGTAGAACAGGTTTGAACCTGCAAAGCCAGGTCCCTACATTAAAAAAAAAAGAAAGAAAGAAAGAAAGAAAACCCAAACCCGTTGCTATTAATTCCGACTCATAGTGACCCTACATAGTTTCCAATATTTCCACCCCACCAGCCCCTATCCTGACCCTGAGCTTTCTGAGCTTGGGAGGGAGGAAACATGGCCTTCCTGGTCCACAAGACTACGGCCAGTTAGCCCAAGGAAGGCCCGTTCTTCTTCTCCAGGAGAATGCTTAAGAGGATGGAAAATCCAAAAAACCCATTGCCGTCCAGTCGATTCCGACTCATGGCGACCCTACTGCACAGAGTAGAACTGCCCCACAGGGTTTCCAACGGGCGCCTGGTGGATTCGAACTGTCAACCTTTTGGTTAGTAGCCATTGTTCTTAACCACTACACTTCCAAGAGGATGGAAAGAACCCATAAAAATAACTCGAATGAGACACCAACCCTATAACGTCTCTAAGTGGTCATTGATTAATAAATAGCCACAGTGCCTGTGCCTCCCGGCCGCTCTTCGGAGAAAGGGCCATGCACCGGTGCCCGGCGCAGTTAAAGGGCGGTTGGAAGTGTCCAGAAAGGAGGAGTGGTGTGCTCTGGCAAAAATACAGCCTGCAAGGTCTCTTCCTGCCCCCAACACTGATCCCCAATTGGTCCAGCTCCCCGGAAAGTCTCGCTGAAGGCGGGGTCGGGCAACCGCACAGCCCGTCTTCCCGGGGCAGAGCACGCGCCCCCAGTCCCCGGCCCTGCCCGCGACCCCCGCAGCGTGTCCCCTGGGGGTGGGTGCGCGCCGTCGCAGGCTGACCCAGCGCACGGCGCCCTCTACCCCGTGGCCCGGGTGGGTCGGGTCGGCCTGCCTTCCCGCCGTCGCCGCGCGGCGCCCAGTGGGAGGGGGCCGGGCGCCTGGGGCAGGAGCCGGCCCGAGTGCGTCAAGGAGGCGGGGTGGGGTGCATTAAAAGGCGCTGCAGGTGGAAAGCAGGGCCCTTACCCTAACGCTGGGCAGGAAATCCCTGCACTTCCGACTGCTGAGGCCCCGCCGGAGACCTGCGGGCGTCGTGGAACCCGGCCCTGCCTGCTGGGTCGGGGCGCGAAAAGCGCACCACCCACGGGCTCGAGCTGAATCCCCGCGCCCGCCCGCCGCCTGCCCGCCGCCGGCAGGTAAGCGCGCGCCGGGCCCGCGAGCCCAGAGGGCTTCCGGTCAGGCCTGGGACCGGGAGCGGGGGGCGCGCGGAGTAGTGGCCAGGGCCGGGGAAGCCCACTCGGCTCCGCAGCGGAGGCACTTCCCCCGAGAGGCGCGAGCGGTTGAGGTTGGCAGCCTGTCACTGTCCTCGCCTATCCCGAGCGCGGGAGTCTGCGGCCCCCGACGACACTCCTAGGTGGGCATTCGGTGCAGGAAGAGGTTTCCGACCTGCCAAGGAACTTGGCCGCCTGTCAGGGTGGGTGCCCGTCCTCTGGGTTACCCAGCGTAGCCTTCTCTGCCTGTGATCTGCATCCTCCCGCGTCTGCAACAGCCGCTGCCACGTCTCTGTGGGGTGAGCAGTGGGTTCCTCACAAAGCTGCCTGTCCTTCTCGGTGAACTCAGAGTAAAGAGGGCCGACTGGTTTGACTTTTAACCCAGGAGGGTCTCTCTTTAACTTGCACAACAGGTTTTATAAATGTTGTATTTTATGTATTGTGTGTCTGAGTTGGCTGAAATGGAGACCTGGGCCCCTTCCCCCACTTCCTTTCCTGCGTTTTGGATTTTCTTCATTTTTGTGGGTCATGCTTTGATTTGGCGAGAGGAAAGGCAGTTCAGTGTGAGTGTGTAAGTTCAGCCAAACCCTGGCATTTGTGGCCCGTTGATAAGTACCAGGTAGAACTAACCAGTATACCTGTGTGGTGATGAACTTACGCCTGAGGAACTGAGGAACTTGTGGAACGCAGGAGACTGCAGTGTGGACAACAGTAGTTAAGTGTAATTAGTGACACATCTGAGTTAAAAGGTGGAGGCACCAAAAGGTACTTCCTGTCTGGTGAATGACACCAGCCCCAGGTGTCACCAGGCGGCCTGTTTTTTGTTGACTGGAGAGCAGGGTGGGCTTTGGGGTGAGTGTGGCCTGACAGCTACTGGTGCCTATTCTGGGGCTGGGGGGGCTGCCACCATGGGCAGGGGACGGGGGGCCAGCAGTGTCAGTGTCCTACAGTGGAATCGAGTCCTCAGTTTTTGCTTGATGGAATTTAATGATTCTCCATTGCCTTTTTCCTTCAGTAGAGCTGTTATTATAGAACTGTTATTATTATTATATAAATTATATATTTATTGTTATTATGTTAAGTGTTTTCTTGCCCCAATTCTAGTAGAATTTAACCAGTGTTCTAGAAGAAAATGTCCTACCCCATTGCGGTTTCCTTAGAATTGCAGGAGGCTGCTCAAAACTGCTCCTGGGGAGAGCTTTGTCTGTTGTTTGGATCAGGCAGAGTGTTTGGGAGTTATTGTCTGAACCCTGCCAAGGAGGGCAGAGGGGATTATGAAGAGAGAACATCAGCACTCTTGATCTGACATCACCTCGTGGGTGTGAAAGCACCCTCATTTCCAACACCACAGTGATTAAGATTGGAGGACGTTGTTCAGTCCAGCCACATCTCTGAATTTTTAAAAAAACAAATTCTGATATACAGGTAATGGTGACTTCATTCTCTTATTTTATTTTTTTCCTCTTCTGAATTATAAGCCAGAGAGTTAGAAGGAAAAGAACTAAAGGAGATCTGTCTAAACAATTTCAACAGGGTAAAAGGAAAATTCTAACTTGCAAATACTCACCATGCATTTTTAGTTCAATCTGAATATTCCAGGAGCTATGAAGTTTTGTCTACATTAGTTAAAACGTTAAATAGAATAAAACTGTGGGATAAGAATAATTTTTAACCTTCTTTTACAGTAAAAATGTTAATAGAACAAAATAGCGGGAAATACCATTTTCAGCACCAGCTTTTACCATATGGTAGATATCTTTTTTATCTGCTTGATCCATGAGAGTGGAACTGGGTCACAGGGGGCTTTTTAGTTTTTACTCCCAGAGTCATTTTAAATCTAGTTAAATGTCTGAAAAGGACACAGATGTGCTTGAATGAACGGAGGCTGCTAGCAAGACCTAGAGAAGGGAAGTTTAACTTCATGGAAATTATTTTTTAACCCTTTGAATTCTTAAAATTCAACATACATAATTCCATGAATTGTTCATTTTTATATTTAGATTCTCTAGGCAGAAAAAAAAATTTCTTTTGAGTTAATTTTGGAAAAGTATATAAATCCTAAATCCATTGTTACCACTAGTATGTAGTTAATTTGAAGGGAAGGTCACTGAAATTTTGAGTCTGAGCTGATTTCAAAATCAGCTATTGTGTTGTCCCTTGGATGATCTGACATATCTAGAGACAAAAAATATAGATTCTTCTTGAATAGGAAGAGTTTAAGATTTTTTTTTAAAAAACTGCTGATTGGAGGATAAAGAAGTATACCCAGTTTCTCAAATTCTCCCCATTCCTTTTTCTTTTTTTTTCTTTGAAAGCTCGAGGAATGGGTTTGAGGTTTGGGATTGGGTATTATTATTTTGACAGGGAAAGGAATGTACACTAAAGAACACCTTTCATTTTTAGTGTATTCAAAGGATGGAGCATCAGATAACTGGCAGTATCTACATGTACCACATAACTGTTCTGGGGATGAAGAAAAACTACCCACAGAGTTCATGTAATAAACGCACAGGGAAAGGAGTTAAAGGAAAATGGCCAACAACTACTGTTTTTCCCAACAGGTGACATCCTCACTGACATCCAGAAACAGAGCAAAGCCTGTTATCAGTACCATTGCTATGTAGCACTGGCTGTGGACAATCAGATGGTGTAGAAGAATAAAGCCTGAACCCCTGGAAGCAGGGACCTCACCACAATTCTTCTGTGTGCCTAATCCGCAGGTAGCTCTTGGAAGTAAGGCTTAGGTTTGCTCGTTTTGCTTTGGCATTGTTTCCTTTTGTCCTTACAACTACCCAAAACTAATGTGGAAAGTCGTCAATAGATGAGGTTCTCAGATCTATTGAATATTTCCTGAATGACTTTGAAAGCATTGTTCAAAGAGAACTAAAACTGTCTACAAAGAGAAAGATTCTTCCCACCTCTTGGTGTATGTTGAGGGTTAGCACTATAAATTTTAGGGCTTCAGTCTTTGGTTCTGATGTCGGTGAAACTAAAATGGTATTATTAAACAGGAAAATTATTATTAAATTCTTAAGAGTTTTTAAAACAATCAAGAAGTTACAAATTGGTGTATGTTTTGCTGTGTATATTTTCAACAATTAAAAAAAGTTACATTACCATAGTGGAATGCTAATAGGTCTAAATTATTTGGATTGTAAATGAGAAGAACCATCTTCCTAGAACCATGTATCATCAGTAGTAAAATCAATGGCTTATTTTCAGAGTTAAATATTGAGAACTGTAGATTTTGTGTTAAGAATGTGGCATGGACTTATTCACTATGATTAGATACACCATAAAACCAAATCGAGTTTACCTTTTTAAAGTTAAATATAACTAGATTCTTGTAAGTTAAGTACTGTAGAAGCTAAGCATATCTATGCTTTTCTTAAAAGACAGCCAGAAGAGAGCCAGTTAAAATAAACCTCTCTTGTTTAAAAAGAAAGAGTTAATTATTTTACTTTTTATTGAAAGAGCTCCTCCCATTGGCTGCAGCCCTCTTGAAGCATTAAAGGAAAGAGGTATTTTATTTTCTAAAACTGCAAAGTGTTCAAATGGATTATTTGAAATTATTTTGGGAAATAACTTTAACTGAGTGAAAATTTCATAAAGAAGATTTGGCCTTCAAATCTTTTATAACCAAAATGTTGATGAAAGATTACCACCAGGGGCTATGTGTTCTTAAAAGGGAAATTCTGAGGTTTGGAACTTGAATGGCTTCCATTCCTTTCTCTGGGTCATGGTTTGCAGTGTGTGCACACTGCCCATTGCTCCATTTGTGGACGCTGCAAAGTGCTAATGATTCCAGAGGGGCATGTGGAGTCCGGTGTCCTCCTTTAGAACTTGCAGAATCGCTTGCCATCTGTCACCTCAATCTCCCTCTGTTCTGTGAGTTGGAAGCATCTCCTGGGGGCAGTCAGGCCTTACCAGTGACTGTAGCAATGTGTTAGGAAGTTAATAGGCTCCAACCCCAAGAAAGCACATTACCTGATCTGTCTCTTAACACTTTTGAGGTGAATTTTTCTTTCTTGCTCCTTGTCCCCAGAAAACAATATGCAGAACTGATACACAGGGCTTGATTGGTAAGACCCTCAGGAGTGGTGTGGACTAGATGAGAGATATTGGATCCAATTTATTGAAGGCCCTTCAGGCAGCACACTTAGGGAGACAGTGAGTTATGGAGAGAAGAGAAAACAACCCTTCCTTGTAAATCATTTCTGCTGTTATAAATAATAGGGCCTTTGTGGCTCTTGCAGGAAGATACTTTGAATCAGTTGATTTGTTTTCAGCCTGATTAATTGTCCTGAATGACCAGTGGGCTAGACATGCTTGTATCTGGGTTTAACCACTCATTTTCTTAGTGAGCCTTTAAAGGCTCAGGTGAATTGCTGGATTTCAGTGTCAGTGTCAGTCAGTTTTGTGAAATAGATTAGTTTCCATTCAGTCTTGCGGCTTTGATAGAACAGTCTTCGAAGCATGTAATTTGGGGACCCAGAAAAAGAAAGAGCACTAATAAATTTATTGCCATCATGATTTTTTTGGTTTTTAAAGAGGGAGAAGCCCAGTAGAGCAGAGGTCAAGGTTTCTGCTTCTGGAAAGCTGGGACCTATAGTCCTTGTGGGGAGATTGGGACCCTTTGACCTCCCCTGTGACCTCACCCCCTCAGAGCTTATAAAGGTGAGGTTGTACTTTGGCACCTTGATCTGTCTGCTGTCTAGACGCTCGGGCAGGTAATCGCGGACGTGCAGTTGTTAACAGGCTACAGAGTAGAAAACAAAGAAAAAGTATTCTTACCTGTGGAGCAATTTAAATTCTGTGAACTTTGAGGATTTGAGTAAATACAAGCTTTTCATCTCGTAAATTAAAAACTTGCTGACTGGGCATTTAATTAACCAAACTTCAATGGAAGATGTTCTTGGTTAATTAGAGAACATCTTCATTTTATAAACAAACAGGACTGACTCCTAGGTGAATGGTTAGTGTGAAATATCAAGATGTATATGTCTCTACCTCCCCCCTGTTTACTTACATCCCGAAATGCTTACAGGGTAGAACAACAACAATTAAGAAAATTTATTATACTGCCTTCCATCAGAGACTAAACATTAATTTTCTAATTCATATTATTTAAAATGAATTTCTTAAAATCAATCAAAGATGCATTTACTGTGGATATTTAAAGCCTCTATAGGCAGTACAATAAGTAGACTATGAAAGGGAGGACTTACTAAATAGACTTTAAATATGGAGCCTTAGAGACCACTAATCCAACTGATTCCTCCCTGGTTCCTCTGAGTCCTGTCTGCATTAGCTGTTTATATGTGGCCTATTTCATTTTTCTCGGCTCTTTCTAAAAGCAAAAACCCAGATTTCTATTCATTCCACCCATTGGATCCAATTCTTAGTCCTAGATTGACACAAAAAACTAAGCCTCCTGCTACAAATACTGGGATTGCTGTCATGTGCCTCACAAGGCTTCTTCAGGCTAACTTGGCTCTAGGGACTTCAGTTATTGCCCTTGTGAGATGATTCCCAGACCCTTTACCACCCTGATCACTCTTCTGTGGATGCAGTCCAGTGTGTCCATGCCAATCTTAAAACGGGAGATGCAGCGCAGCACTTCATATGAGGCTGCACAGTGATCTGGGCCCTCTTTTCTATTCACGTTGCCAAACACCGTGTTTCTTTTTGGCAGCCTTGGTGTGTGGCACTGTCAGCCTGCTTCCAGGTAGACCCTGACTCCTTAAGTAAAATGTGAAGTTGTTATTAAATGAGCCATGAAAATCTGATAACTCTCTGCGGATATGAGAGACATTTACAAATGTCATTTTGATGCTAAGAGACATTATATCTGTGTCACTGCCAGTGCTATAGTTACTATAACCAAATAAATTGTTGTTAGGTGCCATCTAGTCGGTTCAAACTCATAGCAACCCTATGTACAACAGAACGAAGCACTACCCAGTCCTGCGCCATTCTCACAAACATTGTTACGTTTGAGTCCATTGTTGCAGCCACTGTGTCAGTCTATCTCATTGAAGGTCTTCCTCTCTTTTGCTGACCTTCTACTTTACCAAGCATGATGTCCTTCTCCAGTGACTAATCCTTCCTGATAACATGTCCAAAGTACATGAGACAAATTCTCACTATCCTCTCTTCTAAGGAGCATTCTGGCTGTACTTGTTCCAAGACAGATTTGTTTGTTCTTCTGGAAGTCCATGGTATATTCAGTATTCTTCACCAACACCATAATTCAAAGGCATCAGTTCTTCTTCTGTCTTCCTTATTCGTTGTCCAGCTTTTGCATGCATATGAGGCAATTGAAAATACCATGGTGCTTGGGTCAGGCACACCTTAGTCCTCAAACAAATGGTAACATTAAATATATATATATATTTCTAAAGGTGATGTTTTAGAATTTTGCTGGGGATTCAACAGAAAGTTTCCCAGTCTGTATATATGAACTTTCTCTTACTTTGCAAATCAGAATATTTGTCTTTCTCAAAGCCTGGGTCTGACTCATTCTGAATAATGAAATTCTGATCTTATCTGTAAATTATTCAGTGTTCTAAGGTTTAGTTCTTTTGAGAATGGAGACTAGAGCTCTTTTTGCCAGGTAGGGACTAGCTATGCACCTCTCTTGTACCATGTTTTTAGAAATAATTTGAGATTATTCTCTTTGATAAAGTAGGGGAAATAAGAGTTTCTGCTTTTCATCTGTTACTAATTAAAATTGTGCCATCTGCTCCAAGCATTGTACCCACCCCTTTTTTGTTTCTTTGGCTCAAGTATCTTATTTTTCGTTCTTTTTCAAAACGTTACTATTTTGTTTTTTAAATTTTTGTTGTTTGTTCAGCTCATTTAGGATTTAAACTTCTGTTTTTTACAGGTTTGGGCCACTCTCCTTCATTTATGTGATTATCTGGGTTGTCATCCATCTTTTTGTCAATTTAAAATCTGAGCTTGTCCATGGTACCATAATTTCCCTCTCCCTCATCTGAGTCACTTGCAACTGTATGGACACATGCTTTTAAGAGCTCTCCATCCAATTGGAACAGGCTCCCCTTTCTAGTTGGCTAGCAAATTCTCTTTCTCTCTCTTTTTTTTTCCCCCAGCTTAAAAAATCAGTATGCTTCCCTAAAGTCTAGGCTAAGTTAAAAACCATAATTTGAGTGTTCCCATTTATGCCACAAAGTGAGTTTTTAGTTCAGTTTTGGTTTGGATTTAAAGAAACCAAATGTTTTTTTTATTATACGCTGTTTTAAAACTTTTCATTTCCATGGTATTTGAACAACTTTTAAGAATCTATAAACATTTTGAAGTCCTTTACTTTTTTTAGGCAGTGGAGTTAGATTAGGCTTCTATGCCATGAAGTCCTTCCTCTTGGGCCAAAACTATTCTCTCAGGTTCCTTCTTGCTGTTCCACCACCTTTTACTGAGGTGCTGCCCACAGGACCGGGCAGTCTGGGCATCCTCAGTGGTCTGAGGGTGGTGGTTTGTTTACCAAGTACTGTTATTGGACACCTCCTCATGGCTCATTCCAAAGGGAAAAACACTGGCCTGTGAAGTTCCGTGTTCTCCTCTCAGTGATCCTGTCCTCAGTGACTTCACTAATCAGGTGCAAGTAGAAGTAGTTGATGTGCAGCCACCTTGCCCTTCCGGATTTTTTCTTGAAGATTTTATCTGCCCCCGTTTTACAGAGCTGTGATCTCGCACCTTGCCAGTCCCACAGGACAGAGTGAGTCTCTGTGTTTGCCTCCTCAGAGCCTGGTGTCACAGCTCAGCCTTCATGCCCCTCCACTCAGCGGCTCTACCTAGAACCCACTGGGTGTGGACAGGAGATCAAAGATGAAATAGCCAACATCTACATATAGTAGACACTCAATAAATGCTGGTGGAAGGCTTGGTGACTTTCATTTAGTGGCTTTGGCAATGTGGTAAAAAGAGGAGTTTTCCCATAATGGGCGAGAGGAAAAAGCAGGGGCAGAAACTCTGACTTGTGATGTGGAGATTTCAGTTATGCCCTTGCTTGGGTGCCACTTTCCATACCCTGGGGCGTGTTCTCTTGACCTGCACTGCTAGTTCAGACAGAGGAGGAATCAACACATAACTATGGGTTGGATGAATAGTGGTGATTGCTTCCTTATATCTAGATCTGATGCTTTTCTAAGGAGCCCTGGTGGCACAGTGATTAAGAGCTTGGTTGCTAACCAAAAGTTCGGCAATTCAAACCCACCAGCCACTCCAGGGGAGAAGAAGCCTGGAGATCTGCTCCTGTAAAGAGTGCAGCCTAAGAAACCTTATAGGGCAGTTCTGCTCTGTCCTATAGTGTTGTTATGAGTTGGAATCAACTTGATGGCACACAACAAGTGTCTTTCTGAGGAAAATGTGGTATCTAAAAGCCAAACCAAGAGCAAAACATGAATTTCTAAGAAAGTCAACTCAAGTGGGCATCTGCCTTTTTTAAATATAAGGCTGGCTAACTATATTAAATCTACAAAAGATATTGATTCTGGGGCACACTTTAGCACCCCCATTCAGAGGCCAGCTGCGGACAGTGAAGGGACCCCAGCATGCCTTGAAGAGGTGACATTGGCTTACATTTATCCAGCTGCTTAGAAGAATAACAAACATGATTCAGAGAGGGCAGATCTGTGAACAAGAGTACAGGTGGTAGGGTGGGTGGGCCTGAAAAGAGAAAGCCGGTGAATGTGTTTCCTCATGCGTTCAGGCGCAAGAAAGTTCCTCTGAGACTGGATCTAAAAGGGACTTTGGTGACTGCCGCATCCCCTAAAATGGTATGAAAAATTATAAGTACATTTTTCTGAGGAGAGGGCCTTTGACTTTCAGCAGAGTGTGTGACCACTTCTTTAGTCTTCTGTGGCAATTGTAGAAGAAGAAGAAATCTGTTTGAATTGTAGCAAAAGTTTCCAAAGATGTGAAGAACGAGTTGCCATTGAGTCAGCTCTGACTCACGGCGACCCCGTGCATGTCAGAGTAGAACTGTGCTCCATCGAGTTTTCAGTGGCTGATTTTTTGAAAGTAGATTGCCAGGCCTTTCTTTCAAGGTGCCTCTGGGTGAGTTTGGCTAGTAGTCAAGCACTTAACCATTTGCACCACCCGGGGACTCCTAAGATGTAACAAAGAAACCCCTTTTCTCTCAGGATGTAAACTGTGTGTATACCTCTCAGGATGTGACGAAGGGAGGCTGTGCTGTTTTGGCCCTTGGTAGGGGTAGAGCTGGTCCCTGTTGTCTGTGGCTCTCTATGTGTATGGTACAGTGGGGTATGGAAAGCAACTACTGGCCCTGGTTACATTTGAGAACAAGTGAGCAATTTTTATAAAAGCCTGTGATTCACTTTTCGAAGAGGCCCTTTCAGTAGTTCACAATATTAGGTTTCCTACACGATTGTGGCAGATGATGTTATTCAAGCTAGAAATAAATATCAATATATTATATAAACTAATAAGTATTTGATTTCTTTCTTTTCTTCTTAGTCTGCTGGTTAAACCAGATTATGTCATTCCAATGAATGAATTTTTGTTTTCTTGAATAAGCCATTTAAATGAATAAAATCTACTGCAGAACTTTCCTGATCCCTTGAGCAAAAACCAAACTGACATAGTAATTAAAAGAAAACTTGGGAATAACTTCGTTTACCTGTATTCTGGATTAATGTCTGGCCCAGCCCACTTCCATTGAGTCAATTCTGACTCGTAGCAACCCCATAGGGTTTCCAAGGCTGTAAATCTCTACGGAAGCAGACTGCCACATGTTTCTCCTTAGGAGCCGCCAGTGGTTTTGAACCCCCGACTTTTTAGTTAGCAGTCGAGCGCTTTAACCAGTGTGCCACGAGGGCTTCTTCTGTCTGGCAGCAACCTAACATATCACCTGAGTTCAGTTGAATCAAGATGATTCAAACCTCCAAAAAAAGTTATTTCTGATCTAAAACATTAGAATGTTTTTAAAGTGGCCATTTCTCATCAGAAAACCTCTTATTAGCAGTTTAGGGAATTGAAGTTATAAAATTTCACAGTATACACTTTAAGGGAAGTTTGCTTATGTGTATAATAGTACTGTAGACCTTTATACATTCAGAGGAATGTTCCGCTAATTCCCCTCTGTTCATCTTTGTCTATGTAGGACTAAGCTGACACAATGGACTGGGGCACCCTGCACACTTTCATCGGGGGTGTCAATAAACATTCGACCAGCATCGGAAGGGTGTGGATCACAGTCATCTTTATCTTTCGTGTCATGATCCTCGTGGTGGCTGCTCAAGAAGTGTGGGGTGATGAGCAGGAAGATTTTGTCTGCAACACTCTGCAGCCAGGATGCAAAAACGTGTGCTACGACCACTTCTTCCCCATGTCCCACATCCGACTGTGGGCATTGCAACTCATTTTTGTCTCCACGCCTGCCCTGCTAGTAGCGATGCATGTTGCCTACTACAGACATGAGACCACCCGCAAGTTCAGGCGAGGAGAGAAGAGGAATGAATTCAAAGACATAGAAGACATTAAAAAACAAAAGGTTCGGATAGAGGGTTCCCTGTGGTGGACATACACCAGCAGTATTTTTTTCAGAATCATCTTTGAAGCATCTTTCATGTATGTGTTTTACTTCCTGTACAACGGTTACCACCTGCCCTGGGTATTGAAATGTGGGATTGATCCTTGCCCCAATCTGGTTGACTGCTTTATTTCTAGACCTACTGAAAAGACCGTGTTCACCATTTTTATGATTTCTGCATCTGTGATTTGCATGCTGCTTAATGTGGCTGAGCTGTGTTACCTGCTGCTAAAAGTGTGTTTTAGGAGATCAAAGAGAGCACAGACGCAAACAAATCACCCCAATCATGCCTTGAGAGAAAGTAAGCAAAATGAAATGAATGAGCTGATTTCAGATAGTGGTCAAAATGCAATCACAGGCTTTCCAAGTTAAACATTTCAAAGTAAAATGTAGCTGATTTATAACAAAATGTTGTCTTCTCCTGAAGGCAATGCCAACCTAAAAATGCCCTCTCTAGGCTGAAGAGTTTCTGTTTATGAAAGACTTTCGTAATAAATAGATACTTGAATTAACTTTTTTGTAGAATAACTGTGCCATTAACATGCAACATAATCAAACCTGTGGTCCAGCTCTGAAAACTAGAAGATTGTTGACAACTCTGCCTTAAAGTAACTTTAACATACTGTGTTAAAGTGGACTATCTGACATTGTAGGTGTTCCCTGAAAATTTAAGTATGTAACTGTTATTGATAAAGAACATTTATCTAGAAATTGGTACTTTTATTAGTAAAAGATATTTTTATAGGATTGAATGTTTTAGTTCTGACTTGAAGTTTATATAAAGTATTTTTATAACAACTTGTCTTCCTTACCTGGAAAAACATACAATGTTAATTATGGAATGATACCATAAGTACCTAAATTTTGAACTTACAAAAGGTCTGTCTTGTACATATTGTTTTACGTTGTCTATTGACAAATTTATGAACTATCAAGATACTCTGAAGGTGGAAAGTGTTCACTGTACAATATATACTACTTTCTGAACGTAGACACAGCTGTATGGAAGTAGAAAGCTTTTTAAACTAGCCTATTTGTCAATCATTTTGAAAAACTTAAACATGAATGTGATTGCCTCAATAAAGATAAGCCCTATTCCTTAAGCTTTACCATGCATTGTGGGTTTCAGGTCAGTCTGTCATCCAGGCACCCATGGGCCACCTAGCTATCGCCTTTGGTGGGATGATAACTTGGTGGGTAACTTTTCCTGGGAGGCTGCTGGTTCCTGTGGGTGGAATGGCCTGGGACATCAATCGGGACCCTTACATGAAGTGGGCAGAACCTATGCTTAGCAGTCCACCAGATCCTCAGTGGGGAGAGGGGTGGGCTACTTGTAGGACATTGGGAAAATGTCCTTTGGATCAGTTCAGCCTTGATAGAAGGGAGATTGGGGAAGTTTTGAGCAGCTCTCAGACAAAGCCTGCCCCAAAGGATGCATGACCTGAGTCCTTACAGTCCATTGCGACTAAGAAAAGTACCCACAGCTTTATCCCCATAGATGGAAAAATCTTTTTCTCCCAAGGGATTTTCAGATTGAACACAGATGCTGTGAGCGTGGGTGTTGGTAGATCATAGACTGCATCCCTCTGAGGAAAGGGAAGTGTTTAGCATGGTACACAGTGCATGGGGACACCTAATGAATAATGGACAATGGTTACATATATGGGCTAGATGTAGCATGCTGGTTCCTAAAGGACCTCTGTCAGAACCTCTTTCCTGAAAAGCAAAAAACTAATTCTCATTTTCTTCAGAGTCTAATGCAAATCTGAGACATACCATTTATCCATAAATATTTTAGTATTGATCTGTAAGCAGGACTAACGTTTTTAAACAAAACCACAGTTTCACAATTATACTGAAAAAAAAAAATCTAATAATTCTCCAATGTCCTATAATGTTCCTTTCTTTTGAAATAGTTGTTCAAATGAGTATCAGATGAAGCCTATAAACAGGAGGGGTGGGTGGGGGGATCAGGGGAAGATAATTTCTGCCTTGATAATGATCCCAATCTGTATGTAAAAGAGACTTACTTCCCACTGAGCCCTCGAGAATGCCTCTCCCTCATGACTGCCCTGTTTGTCCCTCTTTTCACTTTTATTTTCAACTCTTCTTCTCTAGTTTCTGCTCTTCCACCTCTGTAAACCCTCCTTCCCCAATCTTTCCCACCATCCCCATCAAGGTTTCTAGAATGGTGGGCTGAATTCACAGCTGGGCACCTGCTTCCACTTTCTCACCTCCTTCTTAGCACTTTAATCTGGGCTCCACCCTCACCACTGAACTGAAGCAATCTAAGCACCAATATCTTTTTCAACACCAAATTTAATGGAATCTTCTCAGTTGTCATCTTCCTAAATATCCTTTTTAAAATCATTTTCTGCATTCCAAGATACTGCTCAACCTAACCTTGGGTCTCTTGTTCCAACCCCAGCTATGCCTTGGTCTCTTCCTCTGTCCATTCCTTAGGTGAAGTTATTCTCACTCTCCTCACTCTCCTCACTCTCCAGTCTGTCTTGGCAATATTGTTTATCCGTGCAATCACCCTATGAGATATTTTCCCTGCTTTACAGATGAGGACACTGAGGCTCAGGGAGGTTAAGTAACTTGCCCCAAGTCACTTAGCTAATAACTAGCAGAGCCAAGACTCAAATCCAGGTCTGACTGTCTCCAAAGTCAGTGGCTTAACTACCATGTTGCACTGATTGCCACAGTTTCATGAATGATGACAACATGTAATTTATAGTAAGAAACCTCAGATACCTATCATCCAGTTTCAACAATTATCTATTCATGGCTACTAATTTTCCCTTGCATTACTTCTGTCTACTCCTCCTCCCACTCCAGATTACTCTGAAGGAAATCCCAGGATATCATTTCATCTGTAAATATTTCAGTAAGAATCTTTTAAAAAATAAGTGGGAATCTTTAAAAAAATAACACAAATGTTGGAAACAAAGATCAGTAGTTGGAAAATATGGCCTTGGTGATACAAACAATGCCGAAGAGTACATGATGGAATTTTGCAAGAAAATTGACCTGTTCATGGGAAATACCTTTTTCAACAACATAAATGGTGACTATACACATGGACCTCACCAGTTGGAATACACAGGAATCAAATTGACTACATCTGTGGAAAGAGATGATGGAGAAGCTCAATATCATCAGTCAGAACAAAACCAGGGGCCGACTGTGGAACAGACCACCAATTGCTCATGTGCAATTTCAAGTTGAAGCTAAAGAAATTAAAACAAGTCCATGAGAGCCAAAGTACAACCTTGAGTATATCCCACCTGAATTTAGAGACCATCTCAAGAATAGATTTGACGCATCAAACATTAATGACCAAAGACCAGACGAGTTGTGGAATGACATCAAGGACATCATATGTGAAGAAAGCAAGAGGTCACTAAAAAGAAAGAAAAGACCAAAATGGATATCAGAAGAGACTCTGAAACTTGCTCTTGAACGTAGAGTAGCTAAAGCAAAAGGAAGAAATAATGAAGTAAAAGAGCGCAACAGAAGATTTCAAAGAGTGGTTCAAGAAGACAAAGCAAAGTATTACAATGAAATGTGCAAAGACCTGGAGTTAGAAAACCAAAAGGTAAGAACACTCTCAGCATTTCTCAAGCTGAAAGGGCTGAAGAAAAAACTAAAGCTTCGAGTTGCTGTATTGAAGGATTCTGTGGGCAAAATACTGAACGATGCAGGAAGTATCAAAAGAAGATGCAAAGAATACACAAAGTCACTGTACCAAAAAGAATTGGTCAACATTCAACCATTTCAGGAGATAGCATATGATCAAGAACTGATGGTATTGAATGAAGATGTCCAAGCTGTACTGCAGGTATTGTCAAAAAACAAGGCTCCAGGAATTGACGGAATACCAACTGAAATGTCTCAACAAACGGATGCAACACTGGAAGCACTCAGTCGTCTATGCCAAGAAATTTAGAAGACAGCTACCTGGCCAACTAACTGGAAGAGATCCATATTTGTGCCCATTCCAATGTGCAAATCATCAAACAGCATCATTAATATCACACACAAGTAAAATTATGTTGAAGATAATTAAAAAATGGTTGCAGCAGTATATAAACAGGGAACTCCCAGAAATTCAAGCTGGATTCAGAAGAGGACATGGAATAAGGGATATCATTGCTGATGTCAGATGGATCTTGGCTGAAAACAGAGAATACCAGAAAGATGTTTACCTGTGTTATATAGACTACGTAAAGGCATTGAACTGTATGAGTCATAATAAATTATGGATAACATCGTGAAGAATGGGAATTCCAGAACACTTAACTGTGTTCATGAGGAACCTGTACATAGACCAAGAAGTAGTTGTTTGAACAGAATAAGGGGATACTGCATGGTTTAAAATCAGGAAAGGTGTGTGTCAGGATTGTATCCTTTAACCATATTTATTCAATCTATATGCTGAGCAAATAATCCAAGAAGGCGGACTATTTGAAGAAGAACATGACATCAGGATTGGAGGAAGACTCATTAATAGCCTGTGATATGCAGATGACATAACTTTGCTTGTAGTAAGAGAAGAAAACTTGAAGTACTTACTGTTGAAGATCAAAGACTACAGCCTTCAGTTAGGATTACACCTTAACATAAAGAAACCAAAAATCGTCACAACTGGACCAATAAGCAACACCATGTTAAACGGAGGAAATATTGAAGTTGTCAAGCATTTCATTTTGCTTGGTTCCACAATCAACACTCATGGAAGCTAGTCAAGAAATCAAATGGCATAGTGCATTGGGAAAACCTGCTGCAAAAGACCTCTTTAAAATGTGGAAAAGCACAGATGTCACTTTGAGGACTAAGGTGCAGCTGACCCAAGCCATGGTATTTTCAATCACCTCATATGCATGCAAAAGCTGAACAATAAGTAAGGAAGACTGAAGAATTGATGCATTTGAATTATGGTGTTGGTGAAGAGTATTGAATATACCATGGACTGCCAGAAGAATGAACAAATCTGTTTAGGAAGAAGTACAGCCAGAATGCTCCTTAGTAGCAAGGATGGCAGGATTTCACCTTAAGTTCTTTGGACTTGTTATCAGGAGGGAACAGTCCCTGGAGTAAGACATCACACTTGATAAAGTAGAGAGTCAGGAAAAAAAAAGGAAGACCCTCAACGAGATGGATTGACACAGTGGCTGCAAACAATGGGCTCAAACAAAGCAACAATTATGAGGATGGTACAGGGCCAGGCAGTGTTTCATTCCATTGTACATAGTGTCGCTATGAATTGGAATCGACTTGATGGCACTTAACAAAAACGATAACACTTTTTAAAACCACAAATGCCACCATCACACTAAAAGGTCCAGTCTGTGTTCACAATTCCCCAGTTGCCTTATAAATGTTCCTTTCTTTTTTAAATTAAACATTTTATTTTGAAATCACTGTAGATTCACATGCAGATATAAAATATAATATAGAGAGATCCCTTGTACTCTTTATCCAGTTTCCACCAATGGTAACATATTGTAGAACTACAGTACAATATCACAAACAGCATACTGGCATTAATACAGTCAAGATACAGAACACTTCCATCACAAGGATCCCTGCTGTTGCCCTTTTATAGCCCCATTCAGTTTCCTTCCACATCAATCCCTTCCTTAGCCCATGGCAATCACTAATCTCCACTTCTATAATTTTGTCATTTCAAGGATGTTATATAAATAAAATCATACCATATGTAACTTTTGGGGATTGATTCTTTCCGTGTAATTATCTGGGGATTCATCCACATTGTTACAGTATTAATAATTTATTCCTTTTTATCACTAAGTAATATTCCACGGTATGGATGTACCAATTTGTTTGACCATTTAACTATTGAAGGACATCTGAAGCCAACCCTATGTACAACAGAATGAAATGCTGCCCAGTCCTGCACCGTCCTCACAATCATCACTATGTTTGACCTCATTGTTGCAGTCACTGTATCAACCCATCTCATTGAGGGTCTAATAAAACTCTTCTGATTTAAAAATATTGGCAACATATTTTTTTAAATTAATACTCTGCAGGCCAAAAGAAGCATATCTGTGGTACAGAGGCAGTAGTGTGAGCCCACGTGTTCTCATT